TTTACATTGTTTTTGCTCCGATTCCTCTTCTTCTCCAAACCAATAAGGTCAATTACTATGTTTACCATGTTTACATTATTATGTTTACCATGTTTACATTGTTTTTGCTCCGTTTCCTCTTCTTCTCCAAACCAGTAAGGTCAATGACCTGAACCAGTCATCTGTTACCATGGTAACTAGTGTTGGGTTACATCATGCTGCAATTTTATAGCAGAAGGGATTGAGGCTCCTGTCACCATATATATGAATGTGTTTGAGTAAGAATTAACAGAGCAGACCATATGCAAACTTTACGGTAAACATTATGCATTTGCTTTGCAAATGTTACCTTAAAGTTTCAAGTCTGTGTTTTACTTGCAGAATGCCCGACACTTACACATGTTGTCAATGGCAAAACAAGTATGGTTCACACCAGGTCTAAACAGAAAGCGGTCTACTTCAGCTGTAACCATGGTTACTATCGTGTAGGAGCAAGATACATCACATGCCTGAAGCTAAACGGTACATGGAGTGGCAGTGTCGCAACTTGCAAAAAAGGTACATGACATGATTGTATTATGCATGATGGCTTTGGTTCTTTTTTGGCATGAATAGAAAGAGTATATATCAACTGAATGCTTATTAACAAACAGATTCCTGCATTTCAAATTTAAAAAAAGGGTTTTGATGTCAACTTTTTATCTTGAATTACCTTCTGTTTATAATAGCGGACTCCAAAATCATAGCTAGCCTAGTAGTGAAACAAAGTTGTACGTATGAAGCTATTTTTTTATTGAATGCATATTATGTATTTAATTTATTATATTCATTGTTTAAGATGTAGATTTTGTACCTGAGTGTGTGTTTCATACCTACATTTTGTCCTTTATTACCTCCGGGGGAGGAGACATCCTTCCGCGGAAGGGTTTTGTGAGAGATTTAGATTTTCATGTTCGCAGCTGTTTCTCGCGTTTGGGTGGATTCTTTTGAGACTAGGTATATGTTTTGCTATTGGGCTGCAGATGATGCACGTTCTTTAGTTTTTATTGTATATGTGTTTTCGGGCGTGAAAATGGTGCCTTTTGGTGGCCCCAAAACACCCCTTTGAACGTGAAAGTGGTCGCGACCGTTGACCTTTGGCGTGTTTAAGCTATTCGCGGTCTGGTCCACCTATATGACCCCTCACACAGAGGGGTGTCCTGTCTCGATAAATTCTTTGTTTAAAACCCTATATAAAAATATACAATAAAAAGCCCGGAGGTACAAAATCTCAGATTTTACTTGTTTCAACTGTGTGTTTCAGTTGTAGAATGCCCGACATTGAAAGGTCTCATCAACGGCCATCCAGGTTTGGGTAGCATGAAGCCCAAACAGAAAGTGGTCTACTTCCACTGTCACCGTGGTTACACTCGTGTAGGTGCAAGAGTCATCAAATGTCAAACAGATGGTACATGGAGCAACAGTGCCCCAACTTGCAAAGGTAAATGTACAGTACTACATGTAAATGGTGAAACAAAGTTGCAGGTATCATTCTAGTCTTTGTATTGAATGCATATTATACCGGTATGTACAATTATATTCATTGCTTAATATGTAACGTTACATGATGATTGTAGATTTTGTTTCTTTTTGGACTTCCAAAAAAATTGTTTTCACTTGATTTGCGTATCAATCAGTAGTTTGTGCTTATAGACCTGCATTTCTCCTCTGGTCTCTCAGTCACTAGCTAGCTGAAATGTCTGACTGTCTCCAAAAAAAATAAATCATATCCAGTTGCTTGATGAACTGCTTTTTGGTGTATCTTATTACCAGTCCTGAATTTCTAACTTTCATCGACGTACATGTAAATGGTTTTAATTCTTTTATGGCTTCCATATATACTATTAGAAAGAGTGCATATCAACTGAATGCTCAAACACTCAGATTCTACTATTTCAATGTTGTAAGAAAAGGGTTTTGATGTTTTTTCTTGAATAAAATCATTCCAAATAATTATGGTTGCCAGTGTTGTACCAGAAAGAATGCACAAGTTGAACCATATCATCTCTACACATTGGATGTCGAGCACTTAAAACAAAACTAAAAGCTAATGATGTAAAATTTAATGTAGAGTATCTGTATTGGTATAGCCGGTATAACCGCCCTTCGGCGTAACACACCAGCTTCGCAGGCACTCGGCGTGGCGGCAGCTAGCTATATCACACCGAACGACTTGTTGCACTCAATTTTTGCACATTTTCTTGCAGTTTTTTAAGCCTTCTAGTGATGATGCCCCAACTGTGCTTAGTGGCAACGAGTTCCAGTCTACGATCATATAGTTCTGGGGAAATACGAGTTTTTTAACACCTCAATTCTTGGTTGACAACTCTGATATTCGAAGGCATGACTGTTTCTTGTTCTTTTCTGGGCCGGAATCAGATGCTGGTATCAGATACATGTACAGTAAATGTTTTTTAAATATCTGACAAGGATGGCATTTTGTTTCTCTTTGTAGCTGTACGATGTCCCAAGCTGACAGCTCCAGCAAACGGTACTATGACCGGCGTCAACGGCTTCTACAGTAAAGGGCTTCGCTTCAGGTGTAACCCGGGATACACACGGGTCGGCCGTTCTTCAGTCACCTGCCAGGCTGACGGGACTTGGACTGGAAAGCCCCCAACTTGCAAAGGTCTGTAATTACCTGCATGAAAAATGGAGGTATTGTTTTATAATTATATTTCAGTCCATACCAATATATTGTGTTCTCTCATGTTTCTTCTCCTCCTTCTCCTGCCACACAGTCAAGTGGATTTAACTCTGTCATTTTTCAGCCAAATGACTTGAAATTTGGCATGGAGGTAGAGTGGGTCAATACCCCCAGGCTTTTTTTTCATTTTTTTGAAACATGCCTTTGAAAAATTTTTATGAAGGTTTTTTTGGGGGGGGGCATTTTTCGACAAAAAAAGGATTTTTGGATCCTGAGCCCTGGTATTACAACCAAATGATCTGAAACTCGGTATAAGGATACCTTGTACGTGTGTCTACAGAATAGCAGTAACATATTTGACATACACCACTTGCAAATGACTGAAATATGCTGTATTTGCTCCCAAGCAAATTTCGGCCTTTCTAGTTTATCTATTTCTGTTTTATTTAAACAGGGTAGAAACCCCAGTGCTAACAAGCACACAATCATGAAGACAATGAAACCGACACATTAAACAATACATAAAGTTACAAAACAACCAAGCATCAAAACAAAATCGTTTACCGAAAATCAATGTCGTTAAGCCAGGCCGAGGTCAGAGGTCAGCAGTGTTGTTTCAGAACCTTCTTAAACGACAGGTAAGACGTGGCCACTCTAACTGTGGCAGGTAGGCCGTTCCAGGCAAATGCTCCCCTATACGCAAACTTTCTTCGGCCAGATTCTAATCTAATTTTTTTTATTGTCCAAACAGTACCCGTGCAGTCGCAGCCTTTATAAGGCTGAATTGATGCAGGGTATCACATAATAATCAATACAAATCACAACAATCAAATAATACACATGATACACATATTTGTTTCACAAATTTTTGTGGAACTGTCACAAGGGTCTGTGCGGCTGCCATTCGGCGCCACAAGGTGACCTCAGTACGACTTTCCCCAACCGAAGTTAGGTACCCATTCACACCTGGGTGGCGCAAAGTGCCTTTCCCAAGGGCACAACGTCGGGGCGCATGTTCAGACTTGTTCCGGGTACGACCCGGAATCGAACCCGGGTCTCCCCGTTTCATAGTCGAATGCTCTAACCAGTACACCACCCGACGCCACAAATGTAATCTAATTTTTGGTATCTGTGTGTGTGTGTGTGTGTCTGCATGGCCCTTTTAGGTTAGGATGTCTATGGGTGTTTTTCATTACATGACCCCCTTGACAGCTGACAGTTGGTATTGTTTTCATTGCACAATAAAGAAAGAGCTATTAATGAGGACACAGTCACCATTGTGCACAAGATCTAGATATTTCATTATTTTTTGATTTCATGTTTAGAAAGGATTTTGTGGCCAGCCTAGATGTGAAATAATGCTGTTGGTATAAAACTATTCTCAGACTAATGGAACTTGGATTACTCCAACATGTACAGGTGCATGTTAGTCTTTAAAACATGATTCAAGAGAAATTTAGTCCAAAAAAAAAGTGGTCTGAAATGTAACCATTGAAATATATGACTGAAAAAATTAGACATTGTAAGTGTTAAGAGTTAACTTTCACAATGAATTTCACAGTTGAATTTTAGCCGCTATAAAATGTTGGCTTCAATTTTTCTACCAGCTGCACATTGTTTGAAGCCGAAGCCTCCAATCCATGGTAATACGATCGGGTTCGAATCCTGTTTGTACAAGGGAGTGATGCGCTTCAGATGTGCCAGTGGGTACAATCTTGTAGGTGCTGCAACCATCACATGCCAGGCTGACGGTACATGGAGTAACAGTGTCCCTACATGTAAAGGTACACTGAGTGTTAAAAAAAATCTTTATAATACCAGTATGGCTTCAATTTTTATGGTTTTAATGAGAAAGATTGTACTCAGTCATGTCTGTATATTTAATGAATTGGTGTTTGTGCTAAAACAGATTCCTACTTTTGAATTCTAAAAAATCTGTTCCGCCATAAAATGTCGCTTTAATTTTTGTTTAATTTTAATTTCAGCTGAACAGTGCTCAAAACCAACGCCTCCAATGAATGGTCATATGGATGGCTCCTGTACCTACTATGGTGTGATGCACTTCAGATGTGCCCATGAGTACAATCTTGTAGGTGCTGCAAACATCAGATGCCAGGCTGACGGTACATGGAGTGGCAGTGTCCCTACATGTGAAGGTATTATTATGTACATGGCTTTAGTTTTTGTGGTTTCAATCTATAGAAAGATTGTATAACAACTGATGTTCATGCTAAAAAAGATTCCTACGTTTATTTTTGAATTCTATAAAATGTTGGTGTTAATTTTTGTTTCAGCTGTACAATGCTTGAAGCCGAGGCCTCCAATCTATGGTAATATGGCTGGGTCCTGTTTGTACAAGGGAGTGATGCACTTCAGATGTGCCCGTGGATACAATCTTGTAGGTGCTGCAAACATCAGATGCCAGGCTGACGGTACATGGAGTGGCAGTGTCCCTACATGTGAAGGTACTTTACATGTACATAGTTTTTGTGGTTTCAATCTATGGAAAGATTGTATATCAACTGAATCTGAGATGTTCATGCTAAAACAGATTCCTACTTTTGAATTCAAAAAGATCTTTCCTGTCATAAAATGTCGCTTTAATTTTTGTTTCAGCTGTACAATGCCCGGAGCTGAAGCCTCCAATCCATGGTAATATGGACGGGTCCTTTTCGTACAAGGCAGCAGTTCACTTCAATTGTGACCGTGGGTACAATCTTGTAGGTGCTGCAACCATCACATGCCAGGCTGACGGTACATGGAGTGGCAGTGTCCCTACATGTAAAGGTACACTGAGTGTTCAAAAGACATATAATATATGGTTTCAATTTTTATGTTTTCAATTAGAAAGATTGTACAATCATGACTGTCAATTGGTGTTCATGCTAAAACAGATTCTTACTTTTGAATTCTAAAATATCTTATCCGCTATAGATTATTGGCTTTAATTTTTGTTTCAGCTGTACAATGCACGGAGCCGAGGCCTCCAATCCATGGTTATATGGACGGCTCCCGTAACTACCAGGGTGTGATGCACTTCAGCTGTGACCGTGGATACAATCTTGTAGGTGCTGCAACCATCAGATGCCAGGCTGACGGTACATGGAGTGGCAGTGTCCCTACATGTAAAGGTACTCTACAATGTACATGGCTTTAGTTTTTGTGGTTTCAATCTATAGAAAGATCGTATATCAACTGATGTTCATGCTAAAAAAGATTCTTACTTTTATTTTTGAATTCTATAAAATGTTGGTGTTAATTTTTGTTTCAGCCGTACAATGCACAGAGCCGAGGCCTCCAATTAATGGTTATATGGACGGCTCCCGTAACTACCATGGAATGATGCGCTTCAGATGTGACCGTGGGTACAATCTTGTAGGTGCTGCAACCATCACATGCCAGGCTGACGGTACATGGAGTGGCAGTGTCCCTACATGTAAAGGTACTGGCTTTCATTTTTGTGGTTTGAATCATTCTAATACTATAGAAAGATCATTGTATATCAACTACAGTTCATGCAAAAACAGATTCCTACTTTTTGAATTTTGAAATATCTGCTATAAAATGTTGGGATTAATTTTTGTTTCAGCTGTACAATGCACGGAGCTGAGACCTCCAGTCTATGGTTATATGGACGGCTCCCGTAACTACCAGGGTGTGATGAACTTCAGATGTGCCCACGGATACAATCTTGTAGGTGCTAAAACCATCACATGCCAGGCTGACGGTACATGGAGTGACAGTGTCCCTACATGTAAAGGTAATGATTTGAGGGGTTTTACATCGAGCAATGCTGTATGTCACATGGCCAGCAGGGCTCCAAATTCATTTTTGGGAATGGGTGCATCCAACCTAAAAAATTGGGTGAACAAAAAATATTTTAGGTGCACCATATAAGATAAAATAAGTAGAGTGTCTGCAAAAACTATGTCTATGATTACCAGTATGTTTCATTTCAAGAAAAACACTATTGTTGTATTATTTTTTCTTACACTTAGAATACGCTGTACTACTATACTTTTAACATCTTTACATATGTCAAACCTAAGAAAATATTTGGGTGCACTGCCGCACTCAGAGAAAAAAATTGGGTGCACAGCTCCAAATTTAGGTGCACTATTATAAACTTAAGGTGCACACTCACCCAGTATTTCGAGCCCTGGCCAGTAACTCAGCATCAGACAGTAGGAACATACTTAGTCTAGTAGCTTGTGTCAAGCATTGAGATCTCACATATCCTTGGAGAAAGATGGAATCATTTGCACTGTGATTGAGTGTGAGTCATTTTAACACATTCAAGTTTTCTGAGACTATTTAATACATGTAAGTGATAATGTTATGTTATTTCAATTTTTAATGTTTTAGCTGCAGGATGCAAGAAAGTTGAGCCCCCAGTCAATGGCCAGATGAAAAAGAGAAGAAACAAAGGAAACAATTACTTAGAGTTCCGCTGTAACCAAGGCTACAGGCTTGTAGGTGAAAAATACATCGTTTGCCAGCCAGACGGTACATGGAGCGACAGTGTTCCCAAATGCAAAGGTCAGGATCCTTTCAATATCTTTCATCTATTGAAAAATGCCAAGTTTATCTTCCTTGCATTCAAGTACTTGTACCATGATTCTGTATTCTGTATCATTCTGTATCTGCATATATTAGCCGGTATAACCGCCTTTCGGCGTAACACACCAGCTTCTGTATCTGTATAGCCGGTATAACCGCCTTTCGGCATAACACACCAGCTTCTGTATCTGTATAGCCGGTATAACCGCCTTTCACCGTAACACACCAGCTTCTGTATCAGTATTGCCGGTATACCCGCCTTTTGGCATAACACACCAGCTTCTGTATCTGTATAGCCGGTATAACCGCCATTCGGCGTAACACACCAGCTTCGCAGGCATGCAGCGCGGCGGCAACTGGCTGCACCAATTGACTGATTACAACTATCTTGAGGTTCACTGAGTTGATACACTTTAAGTTTTGTTTTTACTTTTTTTCAAGTTGTGTGTCTGATTGTATCAAAGTTTAATACATGCTCAAATTCAATTTGATGATATTTTTTGCATGTTGGCATATTGAGGTGTTCAAAATCTAGTCTAAGACTATTTCCCAAGAATTATAAGATGCAGAATGACACAGAAACAGTTATACCAGATTTACTGAAATTCAATAATCATAATACTGACCTCAAGTTCTGTGTGACTGTTTTTAAATTAGCTATATGCAGGGGCGACTACCAACTACTCGCTGAAACCTGCATCCGGATTTCTTTTCACCGAAGCCAGTACAGTGAAGCCGAGGGAGCCTGTAGGTCTGAAGGAGCAAAACTTGCCATGCCCAAGACAAGGGAATTGGACCACGCTCTGAGAGACCTGATAAGAACGGTTGGAAGGAATTCTGACTACTGGATCGGTCTAAAAAAAGAAAACTCCTGGCGATGGGCAGATGGGTCTCTCTTAAAACATCATCACTACAAGGTGTGTATGTTGATATGAGCTGTGTATTCAGGGCAGACAGTACTATTAGATTTGTCAATAGGAACACATGCTTAAATACACTATTAGAAGTCCTCATGAAAGTACTTGCCCATACTTCAATCTCAAAAATTTTTCTGCACCAGGTAACCACAAGGGTCTGATTCCCAAAAATAGAAAGGAAACAGGGGGTCGACCATCTCAAATTCCCGCCACAGCTGATGATAGTAACAAAACCTCAACTTTGACCTACATTTTCCATGGTATCCATCCGCCTGGCCAGACAAGACCTAACCACTCACATCTCTCACTACGCCAACTAAACTGGTGAAATAAACAAAACTTGACCAATGTAGGAAAGTTTAGACCCTACCTGTGCCTTCCAGCCCAAAAATCTCCAAAATGGAACAAAACTTTCAAGAGAAAAAAGGATTTTCAAAGGTATTAATTAGGCACTACAATCGTGTTCCCATTTTGAGGCCTCTACTGCGCAACGCAAATGTGGTGTCTGCGCTTCGTAGTGTTGTTTATGAGAGTTTTGGGGGAAAGTAGCTTATAGTACCTCAGACAATCGAGTTTCAGTTCAGAACAGGTCCTATGAGGAGGTTGATTTTAACCTCCTTGGACCTATAAAGTACTGAGTGTCATAAACAATAATAATATACATTAAGACAATATTTTTCATGCCAGTGTACTATTTTTTTGTCATAAATGCAACATTGCTTCTACTGATTTCTTGCTGATCCGTCTTACAGTATCACAGGTACTGTTAACAGTAGTGATGCATACCAGTTCACTGGACTTGGATCCGGATTTATAAGAATGTTTAGGTTCAAGTAAAAAAAACCTAAAATTCAAGAACCGAGTCCGCACCTATTTCCATAAAAGACCATTTCACATACCCCTTTTCTTTCCAAACCACCTAAAACCTTCTTTACATTGTAAAATCTTTGGTGCAAAACAAAGAAAACATTAATATTGCCATTGGGTATCGTCAAGTACCGGCCTCCATGTTATGTGGCCAAAGTTTCACCCAGACAACATTGCAGGGTTGCCAACATGCAATTTTGTATGTGCCATGGGTTTAGGTCCAGACTTACAAGTCCAGAACTGAACCTAAACCTCTGGACTTGAATCCGGACCTGAACCTAAAATTGGGTTTAGGTATGCATCACTAGTTAACAGTAACTGTTAGTAACTTTATTATTCTGAGTACATGCTCCACAACCTAAATATTATGTGTTGTAGCATTTACAGGTGCAAGGAGATGAAAGATAATAAAAGTTATTTTGCTGAGATTAAACTAACTTCTTTTTTGGCTAGGGATGGAATCCAGGAGAGCCAGAGAATGCGGCCGAGGCGTGGTTTTCAGGCTCAAAATGTGTGCAGTACTGGTCCAAGCCAACTGGAAAACCTATGTGGGATGATACTAGATGCCATAATCGTATTGGATACATCTGTGAAGCTCCTCATCAGGGAGATAGGAAAAGGGGAAACGTAAAAAAAAGAAGAAGAGGTAAAAAAAAGAAGAAGAACTGACACTGCCGCAGCCATTGTGTCACGTGCCTGCAAAACTGGTGTGTTACACCAATAGGGGGTTATACTGAAGGTACAGATGCAGGGAAAAAATTAGTTGTGTTTATTGTGTCTGACGACTAGCACAATACAGTGAAATTTGTACAAATTTCATGTCATGTACCTGTATTAGGCCATATATGTAGAATGAATGAATGAATGAATGAATGAATGAATGAATGAATGAATGAATGAATGAATGAATGAATGAATGAATGAATGAATGAATGAATGAATGAATGAATGAATGAATGAATGAATGAAGGTGCGACTAAATGAATGAAGGTGCGACTGAATGAATGAAGGTGCGACTGAATGAATGAATGAATGAAGGTGCGACTGAATGAATGAAGGTGCGACTGAATGAATGAATGAATGAAGGTGTGACTGAATGAATGAATGAATGAATGAATGATATACAATTTTCAGCTTAATGTTTTGCTTAGTCGGGTGAGTTAGATCAACAATATTATTATTGTTGATGAGTATTATTGCAAATCTGTATTAGTTCGTGGTGAAGTGTCAGAGAGATGTTTAGTAAAAAAAAAGAAGAACAATCTGAAGATCAGCACCAAGGACAGGGTCAATCATATGGCACTTCATCTTCCACTGTTTTAAATGAACGATTATTTCATTCACTGCTATTATTTTCTCTGCAACTTTTCTCTTTAGGCCACACCAATTCAATTTGTTGCTTCTCGGATCGCCCTGTCCATTTTTTTCTGATTTGCAAAAAAAGTAAATTTTTTTTGTTGTAAATTAACTGCAATATGCTTAATGAAATATATTTTGGCCCCAACGGTTGAAAAAAGTCCTTTTCTTCCTATGTAACAATGCAAGTTTGTTTCATCTAAAAATCTATTGTTTTTATTAGAAAACGGCCTGGTATGTTCACTTCATGGCTCATATTGTAACATTTCTGGCTATCATGGGGTGCCTTGGCCTGTTTTTTGCTGTTGTTTTTTTTCGCCATGTCGCTCCTGATTTTTTCTGAAAAAATCTAAGAAACAACAAATTAAATGGAGTTATCAACTCTGACACTTCCCCCTTTTTTGTTCTGAAATAGGCTGCAATAGTTTCCATTCCAATGCCTCTTCTAGTTACCCATACTGCTAAATACCATTGAGTATTTTACTGGTAGCTACAAATATTCTTACTTGTCTTAAGAAATATGTTAGGAGACCAATTTTTGTTCAGAAATTTCTAATGTCAACACTTAAATTGAGTAATTGGTGGTTATGTAAGATGATCATAAAAAGGTATTGTTATAATTTAGAAACTGGTGTATATTGCATGCTTAATTATCTACTGTATAGAGGAAAATATTCAGCATCATATACTAGTATGTCACTGGAAAACATTGTTTTGAATTGCATACATTTTTTATATTTTCATATCATCTCTTGAAGACAATACAACCAGGTTTGAGACATGGCAGCAATAGATGTACCATAATTCTGTAGTGAAGCATTCAAGAACAGGCCATCACATCAAAACAATCCATACAAAACTGTCAAATGTGAAGAAGCCATGTCATAAGCCACACTTTCATAATTTACTCTTCCAGTCTTGATGTATAAAGTAAAGGGATATCAAATCAAGTGTTAATGTAACATGTTGTAACTTGGTGAATAAAATGAGGGTGAAAAAATCACACGTTTGTATCATTTTTGTGTTTTGGCAAAGTCTATGAAAACCACGCTTTGTAAGTTAGGCTAGTCAGGTATTGTACTATATAACCGATGGAAAAAATATTATATTAAAAACTCAAGCACTTTGGTATTACTTTTTGGCAGAAAACCTGGTGTGAGCAGCTCAAGTTAGGAGAAAAAAATATCAAAATATAATTTAGTGCAGTATATCTATATTTTAATCAACGAATTAAAAGAATAATCGACTATCTACTCTTCCAGTCAGAAAGAAACCCTGCTTCTATAGTTCTAAGGCGTTAAAATCGCCATGGATCAAAAGCGCCCTCCTAGCGGCGAAAAAATCACTGAGAAGAGAATGGTCTTTCAGCACCAAGGAAAGGGATGGTACATGGTATTACAGGGTTGGGATGGTATTTCAGTACCAAGGAAAGGGGTTGGAACAGGATACTAGTAAGTTTGATTTTAGGGAGGAGGGTGGTAACGCAAGAGTTGTTGCGCACACAAAAAAAATGTACTTCAAATCGTGCTCAGAAAACACAGGCCCATCTAAGCTAGGCCACCGCAAGTAAATTTTATGGATGACAAATTTAATGCGAGCAGGTGAAAAAAAACAAGGCGAGTCGTAATAAACAAATTTCCTAGATTTTAAAATTTTGACTCACTATCATTGTACAAATGGTTTTGATTCAGTGGTAACATGCATCAAAAACTGTTATAACAATGATTTTATTATTTTTCTGACACATAGGCCACAGCAAGTAAATTTTATGGCTGACGTCCTCAGCGGACTCCAAGTCTAAATGTGATAGGGCGAAAAAAACAAGCCGGGCTAAAAAAAACAAGATTCCTACATTTTCAATTTTTTTCCAATTCTTGATTGACATGCCAACATACAATATAGAATTACAATGTTGCCTGAATGGCATTGGTATTGGCATTTTACATTATAAACGTTAACCTTGTTAAGCAAGAAATGATACCTGATATTGTGGTAGCCTGGCCTGACAGATACCTAGGTTTTCCGTAAACCCTCGTTACTTTTTCAGGAAATGTTTGTGACTTGATGAAATAAATATCTTGTTGATATACAGGCTTCAATGCACTATATACTGTATATATATGTACTAAAATACATCAATTCCTCGCTTTTCCATTGGTGTACTGTTGTGTCAAACAAAACGTCTTGTACAGTATTGAGGCCACAACTGCAATACTTAATACATGGAACTGATGGTGAGTTAAGCACCAAGGAGAGGTCCACACTTGGGGCCTCTCACTAAACAAATAGGGGCATCCACAGGTTTGGGGATATAAACAAACACTTGCTGTGGCAGAAGGTATCCTGATTGTTGGGTTTGGCACAGAAAAAAAGTCCACAATTCGGCAACGAGAATAATTACGTTTGATTGGTGGCGGAATGGTGATGGTTAATTATCAAGAGAAATAAAGATTAATCTCGATCGCACCCCTATGCACTTATCACACATGGTACGGTCCGTTCGACCTGAGTGCGGCGTGTTGCTTGAATTCTCTCCAACTTTTGAGGTAAATTTTTCGGCTTTTTGCCCGCAAATTATCCGTCTAAAGTGTACAGTATATCGCCTGGACGTTCTCATGCCGGATGTGTGCCGTTCTTTGGATGTTTGAGGAGGAAAATTCGTATTTCCTGGCGCTAGCGGGCGACTGCATAGAGCGCTTTTAGACCGTGCAAGCAACTGGTGCGTACTGCAGTTTTATCATCTGTCGCTAGATGTCACTAAAGCATATGACCCTTGACCCTGAAATGTAGACTTGCACAAGTTGTAAACATGGCATGGTGGTTTTCTTTCTGTTTTGATCAAGTTCTATGAGTTTTAATGTAAAAATTGGAACTCCAGAGCCCATTACTAGCAACATGGAGAACGTTTTTAAAAAGATGGCGGCATGATGTGTTAGGAGAAAGAGGGAAGACGGACCACGGTAAATACGAAGTTCGATATTTATATTGGGGGAGGGGGGCGGTAACAGAGTTGTTGTTACGCACCATAAACATGTAGTATGAAAGACTGTCGCAGACTCGCAGGGCAATGATATACTTCACAGTGTACTCAAAGAGGTCTGTCACTGGTAGATGCAAGAATGTGTTGTACGTTTAAAACATGTAATGTTTGGGTCTGGAACTGGTTAGAATTTGAATGTACAATTGCCCAATATAGAATGTAACGTTGACCAGTTGTTGAATTTACCGTAGTCAAAAACAGTAACTCAAGCAAATGGAAGTGTTGTCTGTCCTTGGGGCTAGGAGCACAAGGTCTCAAGAGACAGAGAGTTCTACCCGTAGCTCTCCTTTCTGTTGAGGGTGGGGTTGTACGTTAGTGTTGCCTCTCTAATTCCCCGTTTCCACCAGTGCGTTTCACTAGCCTCCTGTACAGGCTCCGAGGCGGGTGGGAATTTTGATGCACCGTTTTGAAGAGTTTTTAACGCGTTACTTTAATAGCCGGCCATCCTGAATAGCCGCCGAGAGAAGTTTCCAATCCCACAACCTCCGTAGAACCTTCACTCTGCGGCCATGTAGGATGGTCGGCTATTAAAGTAACACGTTAAAAACTAGATAGTTTTCAAGAAGATAGCATCATGGATGTAAAAGAATTGAAAGAAGGACAAACAGACAGTGGTATTTTTTATAGTACTGAGAAGAGAATGGTCTTTCAGCACCAAGGAAAGGGGTTGGAACAGGATACTAGTAAGTTTGATTTTAGGGAGGAGGGTGGTAACGCAAGAGTTGTTGCGCACACAAAAAAAATGTACTTCAAATCGTGCTCAGAAAACACAGGCCCATCTAAGCTAGGCCACCGCAAGTAAATTTTATGGATGACAAATTTAATGCGAGCAGGTGAAAAAAAACAAGGCGAGTCGTAATAAACAAATTTCCTAGATTTTAAAATTTTGACTCACTATCATTGTACAAATGGTTTTGATTCAGTGGTAACATGCATCAAATATCACTGCATCAAAGTAAGAAACAAAGCAATCAGAGCCTTTTCTTGTCTCTCTTCATATCTGCCATCCACCTTCCGGCATGGCAACAGACATCTTTGCCCATTTTCGGCATGTTGACCACTGTCAGAGGGCAACGAAATTTCTTTTTTTTTCCCAAAATCAGACGAAAATTAATGCGCTAGCTGATGTCATCCATAAATATTACTTGCTGTGGCCTTAAGAACGTATCACAGGTGTAAAGGTACATGTACATGTCACAAATGATGGTTTGGTCGGGAATGTAACCAGGTTTTGAGCAGTATTTCTGAACCCCTGACGGAAATCTTAAGCTTGAAATGCCCAGAATCTAGAACAAAAATGAATGGTATGAAATGGTTAGTGACCCCTACGCAGAATCGGACCAAATACGTAAGAAGTGCATGAATGACAGCCCAACCCATTCTCAGCCCTATTCAAAACTTAACGAACATACATTTTATGCGTAATTATCTGTGACCTGTTCCAACCCTCCCCCAGGCTTGTATGTGAGTCACTCTCGAAGAGAAAGAGCGAAGTCATTATCGCATTCTTATTATATCTTACAACTATATCGCTCTGTCTGAGATATTGTTTGCCTCTCTCCCTAGACGTTGTCACGTATCTCATATAATGTCGCGAGCGGTTGGGCCAATAGATGCATTTTTTTTCAAAAATTGAACCAGCCGTTCTGTTGTTTACCTGAAGGGCCTTACTCTAGTATTGTTAAAAACACTGCACGAATTGGGATTTACCTATGACGATAATTCCTATTAACAGACTAACCTGAGAATTAATCCACAGTGGAGCCTTTCGCTACAACCCACGTTGTATTGCAAGGGTTATGAAATTTTGGGACGTTGTGAATATTCGAAGGGTTCTGAAATATAAGATGGGTTGTAGAGTGTTGGGAATGGTTGTGGAGTGTTGGGAAGGGTTGTGGAGTGTTGGGAAGGGTTGTGGAGTGTTGGGAAGGGTTGTGGAGTGTTGGGAAGGGTTGTGGAGTGTTGGGAAGGGTTGTGGAGTGTTGGGAAGGGTTGTGGAGTGTTGGGAAGGGTTGTGGAGTGTTGGGAAGGGTTGTGGAGTGTTGGGAAGGGTTGTGGAGTGTTGGGAAGGGTTGTGGAGTGTTGGGAAGGGTTGTGGAGTGCTGAGAAGGGTTGTGGATTGTTGGGAAGTGTTGCGGAGTGTCGGGAAGAGTTGTGCAATGTGGGGAGGCATGTGAGAAGATTGCCTTGCCAACGTATGATCTGCTTGGAGGTTACCCACGTGCACAAAGTTGCCAGACGACTAAGAAGTGACAAGATAAATGACATCCTGGGGAGCTCCACCCATTCTTGGCCCTTACCCATAACCAACAACAATAAGAAACCGTTTATGTGTAATTATCTGTGACCTGTACCAACCCTCCCCCAGGCTTGTACGTAAGTCACTCTCAAAGACAAAGAGTAACCGTCATGATCTGCTTGGAGATTAAAGAAGTGACAAGATAAATGACATGGTAGAGAACTTCACCCATTCTATAACCAGTGACTAGAACTAACTGTCTAGGTTTAATTATCTGTGCTATAAGACAAGTGACCTGTACCAACCCTCCCCAGGCTTGTACCTGAGTCACCCCAGAAGACAAAGACCGACTGTCATTACTGCATTCTTGTTTTCTATGATAAAAAATTGGCACTGTCTAAGATATTTCTACTTGTCTCCCCATACGTTTCTACGTATCTCAAAATGCTACGAACACTGTTAAGGAAACGGTCAGAGCAATACAAACAAAGATTCTAACCCTGAGGCCTTCTCTTGTGAACCAAAAGGGAAAAAAGGGTGTGGAATGTTAACGCTGGGTGCGGCTGTCTTGTCTGGCAGTCTTCAGACTTCAAAAACAATGGGTTATCAGTGTTCGAAATACCTGTCTGCAGTCTGCAATCTGCAGATAGATTTCAAAGATTGCAGAAGAAAAATTTATACAATCTGCAATTTTGCAGCAGGAAAAATTGGCACTTGGGATTTGGCGCTCTTGGCCCCAAGGACATACAACACTTAAGCTCCTGTTCTGCAACAACAGGAGTTTCTTCACTAATTTACATCAACCTTGTCTTGACTTGTCTATCTTTTGTTTCCTTTTGGACTTCCAAAAATTTGTCTTCACTAATTTGCATATCAATCAATAGTTCATGCTTGTAAACCTGCAAGATTGTAGTATAGAGGCTTGTGTATTTGCAGAAAGTATTTCCAAATTGCAGAACAAAATTTTGACTCTTCTGCAATATTGCAGAACACTGAAAAAAAGTATTTCGACCACTGGTTATTGTAACTTGTATTTACTAAGTAAGTTCTGCATTGACGGTAAATTAGGAGAAGGGATCTTTTCATGGTGTTTCTAGTTCACAGTTAAACACTTCCATAACCAGCAATACATGGGAAGTGCAGTTCACCTCCAAAACTGTGAAAATGTAGCCACTGCGAACATAACAAGATTTACTGTTTGTACAAAGCAATCCCCAGACAGAAATACACGTCAACACAAGGTTTCCCATATTTTCCCATTTTATTGAAGATCTCACCACAGCCGAGTAAAGTAGAGCTATAAAGTCTTTAATACCATGCAAAGTTAACACACGTGCAACTAAGGCCACACCAATTTAATTAGTTGGTTCTCGGATTTTTTCAGAAAAAATATGAAGCGACAGGGCGAAAAAAAAATAAAAATAAAAACAGGTCTAGGCATCCTATTATAGGCTTAAATGCTACAAAATGAGCCATGAAGTCAACACAAAAGGCTGGGTTAAAATTTAAACATTGAATTTTGAACTTTTAATCAAACCACTGCAATGATAGATGGAAAAACTGTAACAACTAGGAAGAAAAGGACTTTCCTCAATTGTTGGGGGGCAAAACATGAGCATTTTTCAGTTGATTCAGGACCAGAATCAAGTTTTTTTTTTTTGTGCAAATCAGAAAAAAACGAAGAGGCGAATCCGAGAACCAACAAATTAAATTGGTGTGGCCTAAAGTTTGATATGGCATAAACTAAACAACAGATAAAATCTAGATACGGAATCTTTTATACCATGCAAAGAAGATGTGCAACTAAAGATAAAATCTAAATACAGACAATTCTGTTTACTAAAGTTTGTAGTAACTAATGTCAGCTTTGTTTTTGTTTGAACGACAACCGAAATCAGATTTTGCCAAGTGCTGGCATACCTGTTATTGAAAGTTGCTAAAGATCAAAGCAGTTTGTTTACGTTCACGATTCACTGAGTTTAAGTCATACATTCTGTCAACTCATTTTGATGGAAAATACCGTACACATCTATGTGCGTACTTGAACAC